ATTCACTATCACTGGAGTTATATACTTCAGAGTAATTTAATTTCTCTTCTTGGATTATTGAAACCTTTTTGTATTCAGAAGATGTTGCTGTCAGAGTATAAACGATACATGTATTTCCTTCACCTTCAAAATGATGGTGTTTTTGTATATGAGGAATTGTTTTAATATTTTGCCATCTTTTGTCAAGATTTGCTTGGTGTTCCTTAATATCATCTGCACCAATAAAGATAATATGGAATCCATTGATACCTTTTAACACTAAGTACTCGTAGCAGTCCCTGCTATTTTTAATTACTGCTTTTCTTGTCATAATAGCAGACCAAAGAGTCCTTTTTGCTATTGCTCCAATACCATCAACTACTCCTTTACCATGACCAGAAGCAAAAAAACTCCAATTTATTTCAATGCCCCAGTCCAGTACAGAAAAGCATAGTGTCGATAGTGTAAATCGATTTTTAAACTGTGCAGCACATCCATCTGAGCAAATATTCACTTTCTTGAGGTTCCCATATCGAGATTTTAAATCATCTATAATCTTTTTTATAAACAACCATACAGAATATTTATTGTGGGTTAATTCGTCGCTCATGATTACATATGAATGTTTTTCTTGACCTTGGCTGGCCCATGCACATCCCGTAAACAAAGTTACTTGACCATGGCTCCAGTAAGCAGATTGAATTTCATCCTGATTCATAATAGCGAAATTTTCTGCAAAATCAATTTGTAGTACTATTTCTGTCTCTGTACTTTCTTTAATTTTTGTCTTAAAGTATTTCGATTGTTCATTTTTTGTAAAGACATGATACTTGAACTTGAGTGTTTTACTGTCAAGCTCTTCTAGAAGATCTTTTAAAGTTCCAGTAGCAGTCACAATCTGAAACCTGTTTTCAACAGATTTCCACTGGTTCCATGTCACTTTCATTGTTGTATCCAACTTTAGAGGAAGAATATCCGAAATTTTATAACATTTTGAACATTCGCCAGCTATACATTTTTCATTTGATATATCGCAAGTAATTTCTTTTAAAAATTCTGTAGAAGAACCTGGAACTATTGGCGCTATCTTGTTTAAAGCCTGTAATAGAAAATTATAATTTGCATGATGAATACAAACGCAAACGTTGTGTGGCATGTCACTCATTGGTCTTACATGTAAAGGTCTATATTCAAAGAATTTGCTCTTCCCAAGATTAACGTCAGGGTTATCAGTGACGAATAATGAGTAAGCTTCAGCGACGGATTGTCATGTGTCTTTTAGCTATATGAGTACGTTCCCCTGATTGCGAATCTTTAATTGACATTGTATCTTTCCTGTTAGGAGAAGCACGGCTAATGTCATCTGTTTCGTAAAAAGCTTGAACTTTCTTCTTTACTTCATCTGTAATAGCATTGTTACTTCTTCTATCATCAGGTTTCTGGAGTAATGTAGGCATTTGCAGATTAACCTCCTTGAACATTTGCTGTAAAACTGCTGTTTTTTTGGTAGGACTCTGAGGCAGAGCTTTTTTCGTTTTTACTACAGCTTTTTTTAAAGTATTTAAACACTTGTATGACCCCAGTCCTGAATTGTTATAATTTTGTACTTGTGCTAACTTTTTATTTTCTCTCTGCTTTCTTTTACGCAACCTTTCTTTTTCCTTGTAGGATTCTCTTCTTTCCTGACTTTCCTTATGCTCTTGTCTTCTTTTTTCTCTTCGTCTTTCATCCCAAACTTTTTGTTTTTCTTGAACTTCTTTCCATTTATCCTCATCCTGTCTCATCCTTTCTCGAGATTTTTTTTTTCTCTCTGCTACACTCATCTAAAATAAACAAATAAATGGCCTAATTAATAATAGACAAAAACACTAGAGCATGCAAAATCAAACTCAATCTGAATCTAAATAATGGTTAAATTAGCATTTATTTAAGTTAAAAAAAGAGTTTAATCATTCAATTAAAGATCACATCGAGAAACAAAGCTGTAACTTTCAGTACTTGAACAAAATTCAATCGTGTATTGACCATAAGCCAGAGTCTGAACAGTCACATGTGACTGGTGGGACATATTTCAAAAAAGCCTCAAAACTATAATGTGGACTTTTTAACAATTATAAGAAATTTAAATCATTTAAGACATATTTATGGTTACTTCTAACTAATTGAAAAATTGAATAAGCCAGATTTGAGGTTAAAAAAACAACTTTTATATCTTTTTGCGTGACTGGTGGGACATATGACATGCTTATATTCAGACACTAAATATACAAAAAATACGTACCTTTTCTTTTGAATTAAGCGTAGTTCTTTTCATTATCTTACTCTTCTTCTGAAATACAATGATAAACTTGCTGAAATTAATTAGATGGTTAAAAATAAATGTTGCCAACTTGAACAACATTTGTACATTGATACAAGGCAGTACAACTCAAAAGTTACTAGCAGTTAAAAAACGATCTTTTGATTAATTTGACAAAATTTTCTTTACGGATTAGTGAAATATAGACTTTTTATTATAAGTAAGGACTAAATTAATAATAATTTCAGGAATTTTTAAATTTTAGTCATTTTCCTTTTTCGCATGGAATGCCATATGGTAAAAAAGGCTTTTGGGTAGGACTAAAAACAATGTTAGACGCATCGGACGTCTTTAGCGTCGCAAGTATACCACGAACAGGACGGGAAAGACAAGATCTTCGCCGGACAGGGAGATAATCTCTAGATAATAGCAATATGCTATAGACAATGTCTATTAGACATGCTACCTTAGGTACATATAACCACTATGATAGTATCTTAAAGATATGTCTAAAACAGTTACAGACACCTGAGAACAAATAAATAAAACATAACGCAATCAACTAATAACGACAGGGCAGAATCTGAGGTAAACATTCAACTCGACAATTATTTTTTTTTATTTATTTATTATCACCAAATTCCTTACATTGCAAGGACCTATAGGGCAAAGGTTGGTCCCTTAAAACTAAATTTAATATGTCATAATTTAACATAATTATAATTTATGTACCTTATTAATTATTTGGTTTAACAAATTATTAAACCCTAACTTAATTAAAAAAAATATTTTTGCTGTACAAATTATTAACCCTAACTTAATTAAAACATATTTTTACTTTACATTTAAGTTTTTTATCACCATCTTAATTTTCTTTTTTATGGACTGCTTTAATTTAGATTTTTTATGTTGTTCGGTAATTGGTTGTAATAATATATAGCATAATATTCATAGCCTCTTTGCACTATTAATAATATGTGTCTTGGTAGCTGCAGACTCTTGTTTCTTGTATTTCTGCTTTGTTCATCGTATTTGCTTTTTAATGTCTCATATTGCCTCAATATAGCCTTTACAACAAAAGTTTGTTTTATGTCTAATGGCCTGATTATGTCATCTTGTTTTATAGCAATTATTTTGAGTAATTTTTTTTGTAAAGTATCCAGTTGTTTATATGCGTTTTCATAAACTCCTCCCCATCCTATGATACCATACGTTGATATGCTGTTGAAAAGTCCATAATATAGTTGGAGCAGCTGTTTGATAGATAATATTTTCTTTAGTTTATAAAATACAACAACTAGATACTTTAGCTTATTTGTAATATAATTTGTATGAGTCTTCCATCTCAAATGTTGATCATACATTAGGCCAAGGTATTTGCAAGTACTAACATGTTCGATCTTACTTCCATTTATGAATATCTGCATATTGGTTGGTATAGTATCCACATAATTGGCAAAAGTCATATATACTGTTTTTTTTAATTTAAGACTAATTTATTATTAGATAGCCAGTTATATACTTGGTTAAGTTTGGTATTTAGACCATTTTGTATTTGGATCCAATTCTGACCTGTCATTGGGATCGCAATATCATCTGCATATGCTACCATTTCAGTATGTTGATTTAGTAGATCGTTGATATACACTATAAAAAGTAAAGATCCCAAAATTGAGCCCTGCGGCACACCCACATTTACCACAACAGAGTCACTTTTGGTACCATTAACTTTTACTAATTGTTTTCTGTTATACACATACATTGTACAATTTATCACATAATCTGCTATGATCTACGGTATCAAAAGCTTTTGAGTAATCCATGAAGACCATAGCTGTTGGTTTAGTTTTCCCTAGGTTTGAATAAATAAAATTTGTTGTAAGTGCCACCGCATCTTCCGTGCTCTTTGATTTAACAAAACCATATTGTTTTTTGTTTATAATATTACAGTTTATCAAAGAGGTGCAGAAGAGTGAAAAAAAGGGCCGAATAGACACTAGACCATTACAACCTGGACATAATAGCATTACAAAAAACGTGGGGGAAATAACAATAGACACGTACGGGGTCGCGATAACAAGCTACCCTAAAACTAGACCTTCTAGGCAAAAAAGCCGAAAGACTGTGATTTACGTTTTACGAAACATCAGCTCAGAAGAGCACTTGGATAAATAATATATTAAAATATATAATAATAATTTACAAGGTGTCCCTGAAATGCCTGTACAAAATTATACCACAAATTCCTGAGACCAAAATAATGCAATTTAACCAAATTTACCTTTACTTTTTTATAAAGGTAAATTTGGTTAACCGTAAATTACGGTTAAAAAAATAACGGTTTTTAAAAGTTGAATTTTTGTTTAATAATTTTTAAATGCCTTAACATATCTAAATTCAATTTGGCTATATAATTTTTAGTTATATTAAAGGTATTTAATTGTTAGTGAACAAAACATGCCTTGTTATTTTACATAAAATTTAATTTTGTATTACATTTTTTAAGAAAATATTAATTAATTCATTATTACCTATTTTTTTAAATAACTTGTATGTAAGAAATTTTAACATTAACAACTTAATATTTTTAATTTTTTTTTTTAATTTATTTAATTTTTTATTATATAAAGAAACTAAAGCTTAATCATTAATCACAAATATTCTAAATAGATGACTGACGAGAGCTCATCGCTGAGAAGTTAAACCTTATTTATTGTTGCAGTGCTGGAATACGTGGGTCCTAAATGGAGAACGTTTGTTGCCAACATGTCTATAGCGATATTTTTCACGTTCGCTGCTTCCATATTGCCATGGATTGCCTACTATTTGGCAGACTGGAAGATGCTCTGTTACGTAACGTCTGCTCCTTTGGCATTAGCCATTTTCACTCCTTGGGTTATTCCCGAATCTGCTAGGTGAGAAAAAATCCTTTTAAATAAAACCTTTTTGACGAAACAAATAACGAACAAAATTAGACTCGTCACTTCACTTTTATCGTTAACGTCATATGAGTCTTCAGAATTAAAAAGATGTTTATAAGCTTTGCTTCTCAAAATTAAATGAAATAATTGCATAGTGAATCACAATTTGTGATATATAATTATAATAATAAACTCGCTGCAATAAAGATTTAGAGCTTTCGAGCATTGTTAGATTGAATAAAATATTTGCATTTTGATGTATAATAAACCTTTTGCATTAGAAATTTTAAGTCAAATAATTGAAATAAATTGTCGATACGTCTGACGACGACATAAACGATATCGTTATTGTTGGTATGTGTATTTGTTTTATCTTGATTGACATGTAAAACTATTCCTTCTCTTTGTGATGAATCTTTTTATATTCTTTATTTTTTGCCGTCAATTTATTTATTTATCTAAAATTACCTACCATTTGGTATGGGTTTTTTAATTTTATTATTTGATTTTTTACTTATTAATTAGAACATTTTAATGTAAATACTCTAGAACATGAGTTCAGAGTTTTTTGAGCAATCAAGATTTATCTTAAAAGCATTTTCTAAATATTTTAAATCAAGAAAATCAATTAGCGTAAATCAAACAAATTGTCAAAAATAACATTGTACCTATGTGTTGACTATAAAGTCCAAGCAATGTTCCCTCTCCTGTTCTTATTTCGTCATCATAGATTTTCCAGTAAAATAAATCTAAACTTGTATGTTTCTTTAACAAAAACTAAAAAGTTTGTAAAAAAACATTTTCCTTAAATTTATATAAAAATTATTTAAAATAACTTTATTTGAGACTGTTCAACAACCTGGGTATGGCAGTGTAAGCTTTGGAAATCCGGTTGCTTTGGTGTACCAATCCTCATACGTGATATATTTTAATAGAGGAGGAGAGAGTCCAACTATTTCACCGAATCATATCGACCGTCGCGACGCGTCGCGACGGTGCACCACCACCACCTCCGTGGTCTGTTGTTTCGAAGTTGAGTTTTGTTTTGGTAAATTTACTGATATTAGAATATTTTGGACCAATATAAAAAAACATTATTTTGACAAATCATTTTCTAAAATCAATTTAAAAGTTTTAAATGCATTTTTACCCTTTGCAAAATTTTTCAATGCAGGTTTTCGAGCAAGGTTACATTTATAACAATCACACACATGGTTGCTTTTTGATTTTGTCAATCTTATAGTCTTGTCATTGAAACGGTACAAATCTTGTTTGCAACTACGACACAATACCACAGTCGGTCATTTGCGTCTTTATATTTAATTTTTTTCTTTACAAATAATTGTTATCCTCCCTTTATGAAGATCATTGTTTTACTTTTCCCTAAACAAAACAAGCAAACCTGCAAACGATTTTCTTCGTGTGTTCTCGCCTTCGGAATTTTTATTTTATAAATTTAATGTGACTAAAGTGACAGCAATTTATTTATGTATTCAAGGTAGTATGGCTATTATTCATTCAATAAATAAAAAGCGATTTGATTAAAAGGCGTTAAATGAAAATGTTTATACGATATACCCTATCAGATAGGTAGGTAGAAAAATCAAGTTTTTTCGTGAAACCCTCTACCAAATATTTTCATTCGAGTCTTAAAATACTTGTGAGGCATTTTAGAAGTAATTTTTAAAAAGAACCAATCGTTGCAAGCACTTTTGAATTAAATTTTATCAAAGCCCACCTGCACCTAGGTTTACATAAATATATAGGTGGAATTTTGGTACCTTTAAATAATTATTTAGGACAAACCATGAACCTTAGTATATACTATAAATAAATAACAAGTGATAAAGACAATATTATGGTTAACTTCGTTACATTTCAATTTATTCCAATCTAATATTTGGATGTAAACTGAACTTGATCTCGCAAGCTAGTTAATTTAAAAGAAATATTATTTTCTTTATCAAAATATAGTTGTAGTACTTGGTTTTAAGTGTACGTTATGATAATTATATCAAAAAAGCAGCTCTGAGGCGGTATATTTAAATAATCATCAATATTAAATAATAATTTCAGGAACTTTAACCGAAAAATTAATTCATAAACAATTTCTAATTGATAAAAATAAAACCAATGTTATAAAAATGGACATCCCATCCACAATTATAATTAATTAATTATTAATGTTTATGCGCTTTCCACAAATATCTTTTATGCTTGCTTAATAGCCGACCGCTTAGGCCTATCACTTTAATTTTATAATTAATGATTTTAATGTTATTTTTTAATTTAAAATGTTTTTGTCCATTTTAAAAAGTATATTTTTAGACAGTTTTCCTGAAAAAGCTTGTTTGAATAGTTCACAGAGCAAAAAAAATTTCAATTGGTTTAATAATGAATTACACCAAATAAGGAATACGTTTTTATCTGATCTGTATAAACAAACAAGTAACACCAACATATTAAAGCAAAAAAGAGATTTTGGAATCAAATATAGAAAAGCTATATGTAATGTGAAAAAGGGATATAACAACAACAAAATAAAAACTGCGAACATCTAGTAAAAAGTATGTGGGACATAATCAACAAAAAAAGAGGAAGTAATCATATAGATTGCGCAATTTCCCCTACTTATTTATGGTTTAAGTACAAGTATCATTTAAATAGTCAAATATTTAATTTATATCCCTCTAGCCAGCTGTGTTTTTTAAAGTCTGAATTTCCAGATATTCTAAAGGATGCCCTTATTATACCAATAAATAAGAACGGTGATATAAATGACCCCAACAATTTTAGGCCTGTTTTCTTGCCTGTTATAAATAATATATATTATCAGGATGTGTATCCTGATATATTATTATTATTAAATAATCATTAATTATTAAAAATACTTTTTACACACAATGCGTTTTTTTATATAGATGGTTAGTCTCCCAAGGAAAATTCGAAAAAGCCATTGGAATCCTTAAGAAATTTGAAAGAATTAACAAAACTAACGTAGGAGAAGAAGTTTATGGAAAATTTAAAGTAATATTACCTAAATAACATTAAATATACATTCTATACAAATAAACATTTTCCAGGCAACTTGCATTAAAGCTCAAAAAGAAGAAGAAATGGAAAAAAACTACACCGTATTAGACCTTTTTAAAACACCTCGTTTAAGGAAGATCACAATAATTCTTATCTTACTCTGGATGGCAATTTCTTTGGTATTTGATGGTCACGTCCGTAACGTTGGTACTCTTGGTTTGGACATATTTTTGACATTTACTATCGCTAGTGCCACTGAATTTCCAGCCGACACATTTCTTACCATGGTTTTGGACGTATGGGGCAGAAGATGGTTAGCTTGCGGTTCCATGGTTATCAGTGGCGTTTTTAGTTTGTTGGCTACAGTAGTACCATTAGGTAAGTAACTTAACAGGTTTTAAAAATATATTTACTTTATTATTCCTTATGATGTTAGAGGAGAAATTGGATAACGAGCGTAGCGAGTGATACACCCCTCAAATAATATACACACTCACATTATAGAATATTTTATCTACAAACACTATTATACACTGCCCGTCAAAATTAACGCATAATAAGTAAAAAAATTCTAACTCTAAAACGCCTTTACCAATCTTTATAAAATTTTGGATAAAAATACTTTAACTTATATCTCAGTATACGTGTTCAAGGGTTTTTCGAGAAAATATTTTTAAAGCCCTTTGATTTAATAATAAAAAAACGCTTGAAAAATAACTTTTAGGGAAATTTTTTTTTAAATAAATAAAAAATATGCTGTTAAAGACCGTATTTTTGTTAGTATACCCTGAAAATTTTGTACAAATCAAACGTTAAAGTTGAAGTATTTTTATACAAAATGTTATAAAGATTAGTAAAGGCGTTTTAGAGTTAGAATATTTTTACTTAAAATATGCGTTAATTTTGACGCGCAGTGGATTAAATGTAAATAATAACAAAGTATTGAAAACAGCTCCATAAAAAAAGTCCGACAGACACATCCTATGGATTTTTGGTCGCTGAAAGTAGTATACAATGCAAGGTTAAAAAAACCTCATTATTATTATTATTATTATTAAGTGTTTTAATGTAAAATAAATATTTAGTTTATTATTGTTATGTATATAATTAAAAATATGAGATTTAATAATAATTTCTACTTTATATATGGGAAAATTTAAATTTGCTGTTTAACTGATTAACCATTAACCTGCTTAATCAGTTAACTGTTTGACTAATTTAACCGATTAACTAGTAAATTTATTTAACCGGTTTATTTGGATTAACTAGTTGGCAGATGAACTAATTAACCTGGTTAAATGTAACTTTAAGTTAACTTTATGGCCGGTTTGGGCGGCCAAATTGTACAGCACTAATATTTTGTATTATATAATTAACATTTATACAATATTGTATTATATTACATGTTTATTTATTTTCTCTTCTCTCTTCAACCTTTGTGGAGCATGGCGCAACCAAGACATTATTTCTAGTTCTATGTCATTCCTTGAAGCACTTATTTTGGTGTTACGCATTACACCTTCAAAAATTAATGAAAGCATGTAGGGAGCGACAAACTAAAAAGAATGTCAGAAAACTAAAAAAAATGACAGTGACAACTTTACAATTTTAAAATTTAAATTCATTTGTTCGAATTATTCGCTCATTATCCTAACTTGTTTTATTTATGGTATTTTGTCCTAATTAGCTATTTTAAATTTATCAACCTATAACTGTAATTTGTCACTGTAATCTAAATAATTTATATCCTTTATATGGACTGTTGTCTGTTGGATTAATAAAGTATTATTATTATTATTATTATTAATTAAAGTTAATTTACACTACCTACTAGAAAATGTGAATTCGGGACTTTTGTTATAATATATTATGGGCGGGTTAAAAGCAAACACTACCAGTACTGAAAAACATTCTTATAAACGAGATCCACGAACAGAGTACGAACCCGTGAACAATACCGTTACTCTATCTACCTGTTACCGCGCACCCCGCACCCGTAGCGTCAATCAGAAATTGACAGTTTCACCTAGTGTAAGTTCTGTTTTTTGGAGTTTTTCTAAACGTCAAATTTCCAAAGTGAATTTGTATGTTATCAAGTTCTTCTTACGAATTGAAAGTGATGGATTCTGATAAAAAAGGTAAGAAAGTTACAAAGTACGTTGATTAAGTCATGATCTACTATTAAACAACAATTTTTTTTTTTAATGAAAATACTCATTTTCGTACCGTGATTTCCTTCAATATTTTTTCTTTACTAGTGTTTTTGTTTATGTATCGGAGTAGATCGGGCTATGGCTATTATTATAGGTTATTATTTGATCTTTTTTCTTATAACTACTATTAAAAACATCCGGATAAATACAGTTTTGAGGGATTAAAGATATTCAGCGAAATTTCGTATAAAATTGGAAATATTTGTTAGCGACTTTAAACATAGTGTATGTTTTAGGCTCAGAGGGTGCATCGGAAGTAAGGAGTGTGGCCCGACAATACTTGACCGCATGAATAAAGAAAATTTGCCTAATTTAGATGCCAAATTAAACTTTCTAAAAGATCAACTTATGTCATGTGAAGGTTATAATGAAGACCAAATTTTTAATTTGAAACGGGGTTTCAATTTGAAATCAGAAATTAAACAAAGGTGGGCCAAATCTCATTATAAAGAAGACAATCGGTCTTGGCTGGAAGGTACTTTTAAAAAGTCGTTCGAAGATTTATGTGAGGGGAGCAAAAAGCGAAAGACGGAAGAACTTCGTTCTAATTTTGATAAGGAGATCATAATACAAGCTGCGAAAGTGGAACTGGGAAAATCTGGAAAAAAAGATGCATCAAATGTCCTAAACGATATCACCAGTTCTCCAACACAAACAACTAAATATAAAAAAGCATTTTATCTTACGAAATCAAGTAAAGAGCAACAACCCTCCTTGACACCAATGCAAGCTTTGCAAATGTTTATTGATGCCATCTGACACAAGGACAGTACGAAATTATAAGAAAGACCAACAAGAAGTTTTTTTCGTGCTGTAGTGCCTTACAAAAAGCCAATAAGAAATGTTACCCACCTCAAGAGTCGATTACGCTAACGAGTACCAATGCCGAAGCTCAGTTACAGCCTCTAATGGAGTACCTAGAAGGGGTATTGATAACTTTAAAGGAGCAAGAGCGTAAATGCCTAACTATAATTAATAAATGGGGCTGCGATGGGTCCCAACAATCACAGTCTAAGCAAAAACTCGAAAGCGATACAGATTCTGATTCAAACATATTCCAAAGCTGCTTCGTGCCTCTTCAATTAGTTTGTGGAGATAACAATGAAAAAGTTTTATGGAATAAGCCGCGATTTTGTCGACCAATAAGATTTCGTTTTATTATGGAAACTAATGATGTCACTGAAGAGAAAATAAGACACGTTAAAAGCGCTATTAACTCTTAAGTCCCAACAGAGGTCGATATAGCAGAGAAAAAGTTCATAATTAAGCACACATTTATAACGACCATGGTAGACGGAAAGGTCTGCAATGCAGCCACAGGCACAAAGTCTACAAGTAGGTACTACATATGTGGACAAACCTACACGCTAGAATTCGAACATTTGAATTTATTCTACATTTAGCCTACAAACTGAAAGTGAAAAAATACAGTCAAAGAAAATCGAAAGAGGAAAAAGACCTAGAAGATCAAACCAAAGAGAGATTCAAACAAGGTTCCGCACTGAAACAGGTCTAATAGTATACTATATATCTATATATATGCCTAAATCGAATTTCGGGAATACAAATGACGGAAATACCAGCAGAAGGTTCTTTGAAAACCCCAGATTAGCTGCAAAAATAACTGGAATCAGCTATGAGCTAATTTACAGACTAAAAGTCATATTGGAAACAATTTCAAGCGGGTTCAAAATTGATCCAGTAAAATATGAAAGATAAGCTTCAGAAACTGCTCGTATTTATGTGAACCTATATGATTGGCATCCTATGACGCCAACAATGCACAAGCTTTTGGTCCATGGCGCAGTCATCATCGAAAAGGCATTATTACCAATCGGACAGCTTTCCGAGGAAGCAGATGAGGCTCACAACAAACATTTTAGATGTTATCGACAAGATTTTGCGAGAAAATTTTCCAGAGAAAATTGTAATCAAGATATTTTTAACCGCCTTCTACTTAGTTCAGATCCTGTGCTAAGTAGCATGCGAACTGTAAAAAAAAGAAAGCAAAAACGTTTTTGCCTGAGACCTTGGCCGTGTTTGTATCTGCAGAATCCAATATATCAGAAAATTCAACAGAGAGCGACGAAGAAAGTCAAGAAACTTAGTGTTATTATGTTTTTTGTCCTTTTTACCGACCTAAAAATTTGTATTTTTTGTAAATAATTTTTTTTTGAAAATACATAATTTTGTTATAAAAATAGTTTTTCTTATTTGTTTACGTTTTTTAGATACCAATTAAGCATACAAATAATTTTGGCCGCGTAGATCGTGCAAATACCTGTACGTCGGATGGCGTCTTCCGGGAGACGACGTGCGACTGTTATTATCTATGGCGACCACAGGTTGTGATGGCGACTGTCTCCACGAAAGCTGTCAATTCAAGTCTTATTTTGGCGCATTATTCAAATTAAAATTATAACTTTATAGTGGTCGATGGGGAATCAAATAATTTCTTATATAAAAAGTTTTCTTTTGTGCTGTTATATTGTTTGTGCGCGGCGACAAAAAAGTTAGAAATCGAACAAACTGACACAGATAACAGCTGAGCTGTTGAAGAGATACTGCGCGGTGCCCCAAATTGACGATATATTCGCGTACTGAGAGGATAACCGAAGATCACCGAATCATACTCGGAATGGGTACATTTCAAACTGTGCCCCGGCGACCAGCGCTGTAGCGTTGCGGAAAGAAGGTTTAAATCCAACCGTTTGAGCAGTCGGAACGAAGTTTTGGGACCATCCTTAAATAGTAATTACAAAGGTGTTACGTATAACTAAAATAATGCACAATGCAACAAATAACTTTTATTACTTTTTATCTGGGCGGTTGGGTGGGCACGTGCCCTTGTGCCCTTTAGAACCAGCCGCCACTGCCAAGGATCAAGTGTGTTAACTGGATAAACAACAATTTACACAACTATGTTTTTTAAGATTTATCTAGGTATATGTACCTGGAACCTTCTGTACCAGGTATAATATATGTTTTACTGCAGTAAAACATTATATATCACCTATACCTAATATTATACCAGGTAACATGCAACTTTTTTATATCATTTTTATAAAATATAAATTTAATTTAAACTATAGTTATATAGTTTTATTTATAATTAATTAATACAAACTTAAGCTTCACGTAAAATGTCGTGATAACATATTTTTTATTAAAATTTAAATTTGTTAAAAGTTTTAATAAGCTTTGAATTTTTTTTTAACAAATTTTAATTAAAATTCTACTTGAGAATTTTCACCAAAAATAAATCGATTTATAAGGATCATTATCACTTACCCACATATATTATATTAAATAATCCTTATTTTTTTGGAATCAAAATCCTCAACTAATTGAAAATTATTTTTGTAATGACCTGGATAATTTTCTTAAATTATATACCCATAATTGTATATAATTATAAACAATTTTATATACCTTAAAATAAACATATATATATATATATATATATATATATATATAAACAGATGATGTATATTATACTATATAATTATATAGACACTTTAATAGAGTCTCATATATAATTATAAATTATTATATATTATTGTATATAATTATATATAAGTATATATGTTACGGCTAATGTGCAAACTTGGATAGTTTATAAACTAGCCAAACTGTCAGCTATTTTAATTGAAAATGTATTTTCAACTAAATTATCGGCTAGTTTACAAAATAACCAAGGATCTTGGCTAATTTACTTGAAATTATTAGGGAAACTAAAATAGCTGGATAGTTTGTATACTATCCAATTCAATTTGGCTTATATGAAAACCAAAATTTCTAGTATCAGAAAATAGCCAAGCTTTAGCTAGTTTGTAAACTAACCAACTATTTCTCTGGCTATTGCCCATTTTAGTTGGGTTTTTTGCTCAATGGGGCGGGGTCGCGACCGGTCGGTTGGGTTGTGTTGTTGAGTTTGGGTTTTTTTCTCTCATTTTTGACCATTTGCTCAATGGGGCGGGGCCGGTAGGGTTGTGTTGCAGCGTTAAAATTTTGCCTATGATTCATTTTAAAAACGTTAAAATGCACAAAACAAATCCGGTTAAGCCGGCAAAACAAAAAACAATGCCGTAACCTCACTTTTTTAATAAATACGCCAGTGAATTGGTTGGTTAGTTTACAAACTAGCTAAAGCTTGGCTATTTTGTGTTACTAGAAATTTTGGTTTTCATATTAGCCAAACTGAATTGGATAGTATACAAACTATCCAGCTATTTTAGTCTCTCTAATAATTTCAAGTAAATTAGTCAAGATCCTTGTTATTTTGTAAACTAGCCGCTAATTTAGTTGAAAATATGTTTTCAATTAAAATAGCTGACAGTTTGGCTAGTTTATAAACTATCCAGCTATTTTAGTTTCTCTAATAATTTCAAGTAAATTAGCCAAGATCCTTGGTTATTTTGTAAACTAGCCGCTAATTTAGTTGAAAATATGTTTTCAATTAAAATAGCTGACAGTTTGGCTAGTTTATAAACTATCCAGCTAGTTTATAAACTATCCAAGTTTGCACATTAGCCATAACATATACAATTCTATAGAGTTATATATAATTGTATATCATTATATACAATGTTATATAATTATATATGAATTATATATAACTTAATATACATTTTATATAATGATATAAAATTATATAAAATCTTTTTTTATCGGGTAAACGTATATTTTTTATTTAGTGCGCTTATATTAAACTATTTTGCAGGCATTCCTTCTGCTACTCTGGCTATCTTGGGCAGATTTGCCGTAAATATTTCATACAATATTGGACTTCAGTATGCCGCTGAACTCCTTCCTACTGTTGTCCGAGCTCAGGGTGTTGCATTAATTCACATTATGGGATACGTATCCAGTATTTTGGCTCCATTTGTTGTTTATTTGGTAAGAATAAAATACATTTATAATATTTTCAATTCAATTTTAATATTAAGTTAACGAAGTGAGGTAAAAATAGGAATGGTATTACTGGTATTATGACTAAAATAATTTGATCTATATAGTTAATAATTATTATTAATACTATGAAGAACTTTTTAAACCTATAATAACCTAGGTATAAACGGTTCTTTATAGTATTAATAATTATCATAATAAATGTAGAACAAATTAGTTTGGTCTTGGATACCTTTAAAAATACCAGATTTTAAATAAAAGCCGTTTAAAAATATAAAACGTAGCATTTTCATCATTGTATTGTTTTAAAGCATCTATTTCTATAAAACCCATAAAATATTATGTTATAACAGTGTTGGTAAGTATATAAATATACTTACCAACAATTGCGGTATTGATTCTAAACATATACTTACTAAACTTGAGATATTGAACTAATTTTGCAAGGTTTTGGACAAAAAAAAATTGGCCGATTTTCTAACGGGACTAAAATAGTGACTAGTTTATGTGTATGATCGGTCTCAATCGATTTAATAATTTTACATTGAAAACCTTAAACTTATTCTGACATTTAAATAACCATCCCACTTTACCTTGTATCTGAGACGGAAACCCAAAACAACTCAAAGAAAAGGAACTACCAACCAACAGGAATGTATTATTTTTTTTGTTACCCATAACGTAAATGTTTTAAATATTGAAATACACTTGCGTGCATAGAAATCGGCCCACTATAAACTTTTGACTTAAACTATATTTCTTTTAGTAACTATTCATCAGATCAAAAAAAGAAATATACTGTTTGAAAGACAACTAGCCTTAAGATTACCTTAAATTTATTTCGGCTTCTTAGGTGTTACAAAGTGAAATTAAAGCATGAAACAAATTAACCTTTTTTATTACTAAAATAAATACGGATATTGACAATTATCTTAATTAAAACTTAATTTTTAAGAAAGGGTATGACCCCCTCTTGCCCTAATAACATCTCTCATACGGTTAGGCATAGATCTAATCAAGTTTGCTATTGTTTTTTCTGGTATATTAGGCCACTCTTCTTCTACTGAACAAATAAGCTCTGGGATCGAGGTTGGGGCAGTCTAGCTCAAATTCTTCGTTTTAGCTCTTCCCATAAATGTTCGATCGGATTTAGATCGGGACTGCATGCTGGCCACTCCATAACTCATGCATTAAAATGAATTCGTCTCAAATATAGTCCACGTAAGGTACCATATGAACTGCTAAAATCTCCTCGATGTACCTTGCACCCGTTAAACATCTTCCGTGACCACGGTCGCCCCTACTGATAAAGGCAGGGTCGGTTCGAGCTCCATTAGAAATTGCACCCAGATCATGCAGGAACCACCACCATAAGCAATCCGCTCTTCAATGCAGCATTCTGCAAATTGCTCTCTTGGCCTCCGGTACACTTTTCTTCTTCGGTCGCTACCATAGAGACATATTCGTATCTCATCTGAAAACAGATGTCCAATTCAGATGATCCCGTGCAAAACGCAGTCGTGCTTGACGATGAGCTGGGAAAAGTTTTGGACAATATGTAGGTGTTCTAGGAGTCAGGTTACTTTCCTGCAGTCTTCTTCTTACTGTCCACTGACTAATAGCCACTCTTCGTACTTCACGGAGCTGTTGTTGCACTTGAACTGCATTAAGGTGACGATATCTTAATGTTGTTGACACAATAAAGCGGTCATCACGAGCCGTTGTAAATCGTTTTCTGCCTGGTCCAGATCGTCTATGAAAGGATCCAGTCTCCTCATACCGTTGGTAGACTCTTCGAACCGCTATGCATGTCATTTCCAGTTGTAGGGTAATAGCTCGCTGGCTAAGTCCATTTTCGAATAAAGCAATAACTATAATAAACTAACACTCTTAAAAACCAATTAAATTATGAAAAAAGAATATTGTGCAAATTCTAATTGCAAAGGCAATAATTTCAATATTTAACAAGTTTGTTGTTCTCGTTGTAACCACCATATAAATACATTTTATTTCTTTACCGGTTTCTACGCATAAGAACGATAATCACTCTTGATAAATTTAGACTCATATATAAGCATATTAAATTGTCTTTCAAACTGCATATTTCTTTGTTTAATCGGATGAATAGTTTCTAAAAAAATATAGTTAAAGTCAAAAGTTTGCAGTGGGCCGATTTCTATGCACTCAAGTGTATTATAAAAAAAGTACGTGGGGGACCCAATTTAAAAACGAATTAGAATACAAAAATTACAAAAGTATATTTTTTAGGACGTATCTTGACATTATAAATGCTGTGAGCACAAAAAAGTTTTTGCCAACGATTATCTTTCATAATACTTAACCCTTTACAGAATCTTTTAATACCATAATATATATTAGGGTGTTTAAAAAAAATATTTCCGATTAGGGTGTCTATTTAAAAACGAGAAATGCTTTATAAGTCTGGAGCTAAAAAAGATTTTAATTTAATTTATTAATTTCATAAACTTATTGAAACCTTTTTTAGGTTATTTAGCTGTAGTTACTCCAGCGCAATTTTTTTAAATGGCAATCAGCCATTCCACGTTACTCGGGAATTTTTGTTGGGTCCGATATTAAATTAAATACTATTATAATAGTTACTATTGCAAACACCTTTATTTTGCTTGTAATAATTAGGCTTAAGCTTATAAGCATCATAATTACGGTACTTTTACTCACTATTTTTTATTGTAACGGACGCTACAAAAATTCTCGAGTAACGTGGATTGGCTGCAATGCCTTCTTTGTGATACTTAAAAAATTGCTATTTAACAATACTTTTTAATATTTTAATTTTTGTAAAATACGCAAAATAATTTTTATAATTATTTATTTCAATTTCTCGTGATATTAATATTATTAATTAATTAATCTTAGATTTCCAGTCCGGTTCTCTTTAGAGTTAAAAAAGTTAATAACTGCAAAAAAACTGGATCACAAACATTACAAACAATTTATATCCAATGAAAACTATAGCAAATTCTCAGAAGTCTCAAACTATATAAAAATAAGGACAATAATATAAATAATAACCAAAATATTTTCGGCAATATATAAGATCGAAAAAACAAGACACAGCATTGCCAAAAATAATGTAATCGAACAAAAAGTATTTCTGATCCTACAAACAACTAGGGTTGGGATTTTGACCGGTCAAAATCTTTTGTGGTAAATTGACTGGTCAATTGACTAAGCACCGGTCAAATTCTTTAGTTTTTTTTTTAAGAAATGAAGGCATTAAATAGAAACGTGTATTTATTGAAAAACTGCTATTAAAGGATAAACAAACCATTCTGAGATACAAAAAATAAAAATATTCTAATAATACTTATGACGGCTGGCAGTGCTGGTATGGGTAGATAACAGCAAATTATCCTCGTCACTGAACTCAGCCTTCTTCAAAATCATCGATTTCATCCTCACTACTAAAATTTAGCGCTGGTTCCTCCGAATTTCCACATTTTTTATTTTCACTTCCACTCAACAGCTTCAAGTTGTACTTTATATAAACAGATATAAAGAAGCTAGGTTATGAGTAAAATTCAATTTGGGATTCCCAAGTTTACTTCATTACTAACTTTAAAAAGCATTATTAAGATGGCACCATGGTCTACTACAGAACACTTTATTAATAGTTTTGATGTTTTCCGTTAGGTAGCGCCGTCGCCGCGCGCGGTTGATTTAAAAGTTTTTGACCGATTTTGACATGGTCAAAATCTCTCCGGTCAAAATAGGTCAAAATCTCGGTCAATTGACCGCGGTCAATTGACCAGGCACAACCCTACAAACAACTAATTTATTTGCAAATCACTTTGCTTTTGTGTATAGTCCGAAACATAATACTGTAGTACCTGATTTTAATTTTGAAAAAACAATTGATAATTTTAATTTTGTGTTCAGTGATTGTAACATCTTTAACGAACTTTCTACTCTTAACAACTTGAAACCTTCAGGTCCAGATTCCGTATCACCATCTGTACTTTATTATTGCAGATTCACTTTAGCCAAGCCAATAAAAATGCTTTTTAATATGTTTTTAAACTGTGCCACATTACCTCATATCTAGTAACTGTGTTGAAAAGCGGCGATAAAACTAATGTAGCTAATTACAGACCAATCTCCAAAATATCAACGATACCCAAATTAATAGAAAAATACTTTGCACATAATTGTTAGACTTAATTTTGCCTATAATAAATGAACAACAGCACGGATTCTGTCGCAAAAAATCTATAACCACAAACTTACTTAAATATGAACAATTTCTGTTGAAGGCCATCGAAAACCATGACCAGGTAGATGCTATCTATACTGATTTTTCGAAGGCCTTCGACAAGGTTGATCATACTATACTGCTTTATAAGTTTGAGGCACTGGGAATTGGAAGGAATATGAGTGAGTAGTAGCTGTCTAGCTACTTGGGTGATGAAATTGTTTTAATTGATGGGAAAATTCAATCGTCCTCTATCGCAGTTACATCCGGGCTTCCTCGAGAAGGTCATTTGTCACCTTTACTATTTAACTGCTTTGTAAATGATAAAGTCTCAGGCTTTCAACACAGTTATTGCTGATCTGGGAGTATTATTTGACTATAAACTTACCTTTAATGATCATATAAATGAAATCATAAACAGATCATACCGTATGTTGGGGTTTGTAAATCGGCAATTAAAGGATTTTGATATCTCGTGTCTGAAAACAGTATAATATATATTATATAAGTTACATTAGATCTATCCTAGAATTTAATAGTATCATCTAGTCACCTTACTATAACATCTATATTAGGGTGAGCCAAAAAAACTAAACTATCGGATTTATGGGTTAAATTGAACCTACATACCGAGCAAAAAATTTCCCTGCAAGGCAAAATTTTTTGCTCAATTTTAAAAGGTGTCGGTGAGCATTCTAAGTTTCCCATTGAAATAACACGTAAAAAAATCATTTTTCATTAAAAAGACTATAACTTTTGAACCGTTTGAGATAAAATTTTTTACGTCGCGGATTCTTGTAGAGCATAAAATTTCCCAAAGAATCTATACTAGGATTATTTTTTTAATTCAAAAATTCGTATGTTTGAAAGCTTTGAAAAGTGTAAAAAATCACTAAAACTGCAGTTTTAGTGATTTAAAAATAATCCTAGTATAGATTCTTTGGGAAATTTTATGCTCTACAAGAATCCGCGACGTAAAAAATTTTATCTCAAACGGTTCAAAAGTTATAGTCTTTTTAATGAAAAAAGATTTTTTTACGTGTTATTTCAATGGAAAACTTAGAATGCTCACCGGACACCTTTTAAAATTGAGCAAAAAATTTTGCCTTGCAGGGAAATTTTTTGCTCGGTATGTAGGTTCATTTTAACCCATAAATCCGATAGGTTAGTTTTTTTGGCTCACCCTAATCTATATCAATCGAATTGAAAGAGTAAAAAAAAAATTCTTAAAAACATGTGCTTATAAACTAAATAATATTCCGATTCCAGCGGACATAATAGTCATATTATGTGACATAAGGTTAATAATAAACTTTTCCTCATTAAAAACTACAGAAAAACTACAGGAAGGCAGGAAAATGACATAATATTTCTGTACAAAATTATAAATAATGTAATTAATAGCTTCTCACTTATGGCCGATATTAGATTACATGCACCTCTAAGAGTTAACAGACTGAATACTTTATTTTGCACAAACTCTATTGGATCGTGCACTTGGCTTGCAAACGTAGTCAATATTGAATTTTATTTATTTTTGTAAGCACACATTAAAAATAAATTCAGCTGGGATCTAAACATTGGTACGGATTTGAAATTACTGGTATTTATTTTGTTAAATGTTTTTATGAACATTTATTTATTTATGTTATATTTATTTTATATCTTACTTAAACTGGGGAACATAAAATAATTTTAACAAAAGTTTAATAAACTAAAAAAATATTAATAAACAAATTGTTGAACAATAATCAAAACACTTTAATTTTTAGCTTTTTAAATTAAATGCAGAGTCTATTGAGTCTATTCTAAATGGTCTTTTATTATTTTGAAATTTTTGTCGTCAAATATATTTAAATTCTTAATGAAATGTGTATTTTTTGGTGTTTTTTTGTATCAAACAAAAAAATACTGCTATTCATGCTGATTACTTTTAATATTTTAAATGATGATGCTGACAGGCGTTTAGAATTTTGTAAAATAATGACCTATTTAGGAACAAATCAGTGTGATGAGTGTATCTAAATGAAAATGTTAACAAACAAAATTGTAGTTATTGGAGCAATGAAAATCTTTCTCTCATTAGAGAAATTCATACCCAGTATCCAATGACTGGACAGGCATTTTGGGTCCCTTATTTATTGAACAAAATTGGAATGGTCAAATTTATTTTGAAAGGTTAGATAAAACAATACACTCTTTAAAAATGAATTAGTCAAAAATGACCAATTGTCAAATAATTCTCGTCAATAGCAATTTGTATCCCGAACATTTAGCAGTCAATTTTTATTTAAAAATGTTTCCTGAATTCGAAATATCGTCAAAAGTTAGAAAAGTAGAACAGTTTTTGGGATATAGTCAATTTTGCATATAACTTGGAATTGACTACATATTAAAAACTGCTCTACTTTCATAATTTTTTACAGTTTTTTCGGATTCAGGGGTCAATTTTACATAAAAATTGGCTGTTAAATGTTGGGGATACCATGGTATCCCATGGTTAACGGTATAAGTGAAAAAGCAGCCACTAATAACTGTAGTAATTAGTCATTTTTGACTAATTCATTTTTAGAGAGCAAAAATATTAAATGAGCTGGAAGATTAAAGAGGAAAGGATGATGAACTAGCTATGTATGAAAATTTATTAGATTTTTACCAACTCATTACACCTCATTATGTAGTAGTTTGGCTGGACTAGAATTATCCAGAACAGTGGATTGACATCATTAAACTTTTTTTATGGGGTAACTTAAAATCTGTAGTCTACAAAACAGCCTCATTCTATTAAAGATCTGCTACAGCGAATATTTCAAAATGTTCGATGGAAATTTGAGAATATTGCTTACAAAATAATTTGTAGTCATTTTAAGTATTTAATTTAAGAAACTAAAAATTAAAGTGTTTTGATTATTTTTGAATAACTTGTTTATTTACGCTTTTTTATGTAACGGGTTAATTTTGTCGTGTGCTTTACTTTTATTTCTTATTCCTTGGTTGGCCTATGGGAGCTCGTGGGTTTTAGGGTACCCGTTAAAAATGACTAATCTAATCTGACCTTTAATCCGGAGCAATTTGTAACGGCTTCGTATAGATGATATCGGATGGACGAGTCTGAGTAGACGCGAAATACTCCCGATATGGAATTAACACACTAAACTCACTCGCGTCAAATCACCCGGAAAACTTCACATACGTTCACCGGTCACTATATACTTACTTTTCGAGTTAAATTGATTCAGGGCTATTTCTTATATTTTTTTAAAAATTGAAGTATTAAAAAGTGTTTTTTTGGTAGGTACTGTTAAAAAGCATTTTTTAAGAGATTTCTAATGAGGTATCACAAAGAGGGTGTTGCCATTTAAAATAAGTTGGGGTTGCTTAGTGAAGGTCATTTTTGTGGTCATACTGATTTCCCCGACATATCCTAAAAACGGTTTTAAGAAATTTGTTTAGGTCAAAAGTTATTGCTCGTTGTATACTTAATGCAAATAAACACCCAGGCAACTAACCATAATTATTATAAATAATCCTTTAAATAGAAGCTTAATTAAAAGTAAAGGGTGTATCAATAAGAACGCAAGATTTGAATTTCGCGTCAGTTTGGCAACCATGATTAATGATATGACAGATTGATAGGAGACAGTTGGGAGTTAGTAAATATGGAGCAATACACGATAGAACAACCCGCCCTGATTGTTATTCATTATTATAAAAATAATGAAAGGTTGATTGCCACGATTCGTAAAGTGTGTCCAATATTTGCTAGTAGAGGTCGTTCGAAAAAAAATATCGTAGCAGTTCGCGAGAGTGTGGCCGAGAGTCCAGAGACGTTGATTCGCCATCGTGCACAAGAATTGGACATTACACAAGCCACTCTTCAGCGAATTCTTACTAAAGATTTGCATCTTTATGCCTACAAAGTCCAATTGACTCAACAACTCTAGCCAATAGACGATGAATAGCGAAGAGAGTTCACCAATTGGATTCTTGAGCAGCAAGAAGTGAATGCCGATTTTGCGGACAAAATCATTTTCAGTGATGAGGCCCATTTTCACCACGATTTAACAACCCTTGGACTTTTGGCTGTGGGGTTATTTAAAGTCACAAGTTTATGCCAACTACCACCGAAGCCTTAAAAGCAGAAATTAGACGCTCTATCAACGAAAAACCGCCACATGTATTCAATAATGTTATTGCAAATTTTGCCAAGAGTACGCATGTGCCAGATAAGCCGTGGTGGTCATTTACCAGATGTGATATTTCATACATAATTCCCAAATGATACTTAAATCAATAAATATTTCAATGCTTCACAACTTAAACCCATGTTTTATTAAACTTTGAAATCTTGAGCTCTTATTCATACACCCTTTATAATAATAAAACAGTTTTACGAAGCTAAATTAAAACGTATTCCTAAAATCCTACGCATGCCTACGGTTTTTAATATTTGGGGTTTAAAATGTAAAATAATAAATTTTAAAATGTGCATGCCTAGGATGTCCGAAATAGTTGAGGATTAGCACCGCGAAAAAACTTATTAGGCGTTTAGGCAAAATCAGCAAATTTATGATCCAAAGCCCTTAATGCTTGTATAAAAATAATTAATAAATAGTTAAAAATAGTTAAAAGAATGCAAGGCGTAATGCTTATACGTATAAGTATAAGTTAAATACGTTTCAAACTCCCAATTGTTTGAACGTTTTGAAATACATTTGGGATACATAATTAGTTTTTTGTAAAACATAGAAAATTAATATGATATGTCTAACCATTGTATAAAAGTTTTTATTTAATAAATATTATTATCTTTTTTTAAATTAATTACAACTTTAACGCAAGTAATTGCAAGTAATTATTATTCAGTTATAATAGTTACTTGGGTATAATAACAAATAGTTTACCCAAGTAACTATATTTACCTATAGGTATTACAAATATTAAAATTCAATATTAATAATAAGGGTAAATAACTTTTTTTTAATTAAAAATATTTGATTTTAGGCTAATATTTCTGTATCCTTGCCATTGTTGATATTAGGAGTTCTAGGTATCCTAGGAGGTATTTTAGCTCTTTTTCTGCCGGAAACTTTAGATCAGGAACTTCCACAGACATTACAAGATGGCGAGAACTTCGGACTAGGACAAAAGATTTGGGACTTCCCTTGTATTAAGTAAGGTTTTTTATTTAAATAATTACCGTACATTAATGTTATCATTGATATTTTTATTTAGTTTCTTTATAGCATTTTTTAAATATACAGTAAATTTTTTAATTTTGACTTGCTTAAAAAGATAATTTCAATTTTATTAAATTTTCTTGATATAATAATAATAATAATAATAAAACCATACATCTCGGAACAAAGGAAAATTTTTGAACCTTAAGATTTATAGTTACACTTATTAAATTTATTCATTTAATCCTTGTATACAAGGTATGTTTGTGTATAGTTAATTAAAGATTTTTTTTTAGAAAACATGACGATGAAGAAAACAAAACAGAACTCAAAGAAGAATTTAGGAGGACTACATCGATAAGAGGTTCAATGAGGGGGTCGTTTAGGGGTGAAATCAGATCAAGCATAATAAATAGAGGTTCCATAAGATCTAGAAAATCTATTGCAGTTCCTGAAAACGAAGTTGTTTAAAAATATTAGGTTAGTACGACGAGAAAAAAGTTATTTGATTTTAAACTCAGTTTTATTGTATACCTACGTATTATAAATTTTGCCATATTACAAAGATTCTTTCTGAGGTCGTCTGTTTAAATTTGCTGTGATCTAATGTTTGCATTGGATGGGATGGCCAGCCATCTGTTTATCTGTGGTATTATAACTAATGTGTAAATATTTAAAAATTTGTAAAAAAAAATATTTTAGGTTTGTATATAAATTTCACATTGGTGTAGTATTATTTTAAGCCAAGTATTGCTTAAATCTTGTAAAAATGCATTTTTTAATTTATTTTAATTAAGTATTTATAGTTCATGAATAAAACTATTTAAAACTATGATGTTGTTTTTCTTAACTCTTAATAATTTAATTAACCGTACGGTAGACGCGTTGCATAGATTAGTTTTCTTTAACAAATAATTTTTCTATTGTAAATAAAATTAAATTAGGCAATTCCCTGCTGTACATTTTTTTAACCTTAACCTTAACTTTTACTAAATTTAATTTTAATTTTTATTCAAGATTTAATTAACAAAAAAAATTTTTTAATGTGTTTTAATTATATTTATATCTGTAATGTCCATAATACATATTATACTTGTTCTAATGTCTGTATATTTTTATAATATTGACGTGTAAGTAATAATTTAAATCTCTATATTAGCATATATCTTTATACCATTCTTGTAGAAACCCTGAAGATGCCGTAAGGCGAAACCGGTCGGTTATTAAAATAAAATAAAAAAATTTACAGCAGGGAAGTGCCTAATTTAATTTTATTTACAATATTAAAATCCCACTGCTAAAATGGATTATACAATTAAACGTTTAAAAAAATAATTTTTCGTTACGCTCTCATATATGGGTCAAAACACGCCAAATGTTTCCACCTAAAAATAAAGTCGTTTCCGATTTTGAAGAAATTTCGCTAAATCACTGTCCTATCGAACTACTTTAATCAGTGGCGTAACTATCACCGCTGGGGCCCGTGGCAAATCAGATGGGCCCTAATTTAAAGAAGTTTAATGTTGCTTATAAATTATTTTGTGCATAACTATGAATGCAAAGAACGTATAAAATTAAAATTAAAAAGGATTTAAAAAATTATACGGACAGCGATGTCCTTTTTAGGTCTAGTATTTGCCCCTTGTAAAATAATAATAGATTAAATTATTTTTGAATATAACATACTTTAATCATTTTAATCATTTATTTTTGTTGTTTCACGAATTCAGATAGTAATTTGGTTAAATTTAAATTATATTTTTTTACCAATAAATCGTACAACAATGTGAAGTAATGTCAATAGCATTTTGTCATATGTTCGTTTTGCATTCCATTTAGGAAATAATATTTTAATTATTATTGAATTATAATGTATTTTATTTATCCTTAATTTAAATTTATTATTTAATTTAATGTAATAAACAAAATAATTTTAAATAATATAAACAAATAAAAAAAACTATTGGATTACTCCAAAAGGCTAAGGGGCCGTCCATAAATGATATCACACGTTTTTTTAATAAAAAAATATAATTATATAATTTTGGGACATCACAACCTCCCAAACCCCCCTCGGCTGTCACAAACTGTCACATTTTTGACGAAATGTGTGTGACATAATTTATGGACGGCCCCTAACGACCTTAGTCTTTCTGTCTATATCAAAATTTACGAATATATTTTTAATGCCATAAATCGCACAACAATGTTAAATTATCTGTCATTAGACGCTAACGGTTTTCGTTCAAATTCAAAAATATATAAATAAATAGGTATAAACGCTTTTGTCAAAATTTATAGAAGAATTTTGTTCTTTTGGGAGTACAGTAAGTACCTATGTATCAAAAAAGTAACTGATGTTATTATGCTAAAGATTATACTTAAATCTTACAGGTTTGCCCTACTGTGCTCTCGGGCCGGGGGCGTTCGTCGGCCGGGGGTCCCTTAGGCTGGCCCTGTGGCATTTTGCCCGTTCTGTCACCCTGTAGTTACGCTACTGACTTTAATTTTACGTGACTGTAAAGACGGGTTGCAGATTAACAGGAGCGCGTTCGAAAACTCGCAAGAGTGCACTCTGGATACACTCCAAGTTTACCTTGCGCGTTCGAATTCTCTGGTATATACCTAGATATATGCAACTGTCAGCTGTTCGAAAACAGCAAGTATATGCCCAGAGTGCACTCTTGGTTGTCCAAGCTTTAGACTTGGTTAAGTTTTACCCGTCATGCGCATAGGGTACATCAAACAATAATTTGTATTTACCTTCATATAATTTATTTATAACTGTTTAAAATTCAATAAAACAAAAACGAAAAACATTAAAATAAAAGAATTTATTATAATAAATTATTTAAAAAATTTCAATTCTAAAAAACAAAACAAAATGAAGCACAAAAACTTGAATAATCCATATAACTAAAGGGTTGAAATTCAATAACTTAATATTTATGGGCGTTTCTCTGTAAACTGGGCAACTCATTGTCTCAAGCTAATATTGTTTAGAAAAATAACAGATCATAAATATTTCGTAGATAACTTCAAAAGATAATAACCTAATCTACCCATGCTCGACGTTCAAAATCCCATAAAATAAACTTTAATGTATCAAAATCGTTTTTATAGTCCTTAAAAACCAGTCCCCTGACGTGTCACCAAAGCAAAATGGTCACTTCAGACTAAATTAATTAAAGACAGTAACTATTGGAATCAACCTAATTGTTTAATTATTCAACCAATATTGTTTGCTTGTTACTGTGACTTATTTATTTTTTATAATTATTATTTTGTAATTCTAAAAAAGTCATCTAAACTTTGTCTCCGGATTTTATAAACAGTCCCCTGTATAGATTTTTCAGAAAATGCTCAATGTTTTCCAAAGTAATAGGAATATTTTTTGGTAGATCTGCCACATACTAATAAATAGACCGATATTTATTCCTCGAATAACATTTATTAAATACAACAAAAATATAACAAAAAAACGTGCCTAGACAATTTCTTACTTCAAGTTGCCCAGTTTACAGAGAAACGCCCTTATATGTATTCAGTCAAATAACAATCAAAACCAATTGATTTTAGAACACTACAACATAAAGTTTATAGGTATATGCTCCGCGGCGTTCGAAAATAACAAGGAGGTCAGGTATAATGTAAAGTCACGTGATTATATACCTATCCTTTTACCATATCCAAAGTACACTCTAATTTCGAACGCACTCCAAGAGTTTAAAATTTAATTTTCTTATTGTACTTGTTCTTTATGTCAAAATTGTAAAGTTGTTTTGTGATGCTTAGTAGAAAGGAATTGAACACGAAGTATGTAAACTTGAATCTTTATTTAGTTAACGGCTGAATAATACAATGACTTAAATGGTGGCTTAATATTATTTTACAATATGCCTTTTTGAAGTGGCTGCAGTAGCCGTACTGACTATAATAAAAGAGATCATTCCTTGGTAAGCACTTGAGGAAGGAGCTTTAAGCAGCGCATGACGCTGGAGGCGCTTATATTATGAATTTACAAACATACCGCCCATGTTGAAAGAAGGCCTTTCAATTAATTATTAGGACATAAATAATAAGATATAAACATTAGTATAGTAGTGAATCAAAAATAAGTACTCTGTCTAAAAATAATAACTAAATACTAAACATTTAATTTTCATAGTTTCTTTAATAAACTTTCTTAACCCATTACTGGTAATATTCATAAAAAAAATTAAACCTACACCTCGCTAAAGTTCTTTATTTTGAGTGCGTTCCACCAACTTCACGCACAGCGTCGTAATCAAAGAAGACAACGTTCCTGTAATGCAATGGAAGTTGGGGCGCATTTTAGAAAAGCACTACGGTACGGACAACGTGTGTCGTGTAGTGTCAGTGAAAACACAAACGGGTGTTTAAGAGAGCAATTTCAAAGGTGTGCGCACTTCCCATGGAAGAGAAAAGTGCCAGTGACTAAAAACATTAAACATTGTATACAAATTTATGATTATTTGTAAATACTACTTAGTATTTAGTTAAAAAAAAATTGAACCGACACCTAGGCAAAGTTTTTTGTTTGAGTTTGGGTCTCATCAGTGTCGGGAAACTTGGTGTAGTGGAACACACCCAAAACAAAGGACTCCCTGAGCTTATATACTGGGTTGGTAAGCCAACAGAGGCGAGATGTAAGAACATCACGTGATCCACACCGTCTAACGACGTGGCCTTTCCCGCAATCGGTACATACTATGCAACCAAGACTGCACACGGCAAATTGTATCACAGATATTAATATGGCCTAAAGGAATCTAGAATTAGCCCAACCGGGCTACACATTAAGGTAAACATTCAATATTTTTATTTTTTTTTAAGAAACTTTCTTGACCCATTACTGGTAATATTCATAAGAAAAAATTGAACCTACACCTCACCAAAGTTTTTTATTCAGGGAGTCGTTTGTTTTGGGTGTGTTCCACTACACCAAGTTGCCCGACACTGATGAGACCCAATATAGGTTGAAACAGCTGTCTGTCGGTATTTGAAGTTGGTGGAACGCACTCAAAACAAAAAACTATGGCAAGGTGTAGGTTCAATTTTTAACCTGTAATGGGTCAAGGAAGTTTCTTAAAGAAACTAAGAAAATTGAATGTTTATCTTAATGTTTAGCCAGGTTGGGCTAATTTTAGATTCCTTTAGGCCATATTAGTATCTGTGATACAATTTGCCGTGTGCAGTCTTGCATGGTTGCATTATATGTACCGATTTCGGCAAAGGCCACGTCGTTAGACGGTTTGGATCACGTGATGTTCTTACATCTCGCCTCTGTTCGCTTACCAACCCAGTATATAAGCTCAGGAAGTCCTTTGTTTTGGGTGTGTTCCGCTACACCAAGTTGATGCTGATGAGACCCAATATAGGTCGAAAAAGCTTTCTGTCGGTATTTGAACTTGGTGAAACGCACTCAAAACAAAAAACTTTGGCGAGGTGTAGGTTCAATTTTTTTTAACTAAATACTAAGTAGTATTTACCAATATTGCAAAATTTTTAGAAAACATTTAGAAACGAAAAGGTTTTCATGTTTTTTGTAATCATAACACATAAATGATCATTTAAAATTAGTAAAAATTAACAAAACCTAATTTTTTAATGTAAATGGATG